AGAAAACGAGTTATTGAAGAAAGGCAAAAAAAAGTAACAGTTTCAATATTATTCACTAATAATAGCATGTATTAGAGACTTTACTTGAATAACGTGCTGCATGCGCACAATTGGCATCCCGAGGTTTACTGATAATTTGAACGTTTGATACATAACTTAGGGAAGCTAGCGCTTCTCCGCGAAAACCAAATGTGCTCATCGATTCCAATTCTTCAAATTTACTAAGTTTTGATGTTGCAAACCGCTCACACACTAATGGCATATCTTCTTTCAATATGCCCTTTCCATTATCCTTCAAAGAACATCAATAAAGTATTGGTAAGCAAAATTTATGATGACTGTACCGTTATATGTAAAAAACTTGAACACCAAACAATTAAACTTGAACTTGAACACCAAACAATTACCTGGACTTTTAACAGATCTAAACCACCATTCTTAGCCGTAATAATAATTTCTGTAGCCTCAGCATCTAAAGAATTTTCAATCAACTCTTTAACAGCATTTGATGCCCGTACCATAACTTCACCAGCAGCAATTCGATTAACTACATCTTCCGATAACTGATGAATTACGCCCATCCTGAAAAAGAACTCCTGAGATTACACAAATACAATAGTATCTATTTTCAACATACAACCCAACTTATTTGATGTATTGCATATGACCAGTAAACAGATCTCGACTAATCTGCTCGAATTTATGCGAAAAGTTTAATTGCCACCTAATGGCGGGAAATACGTTGTAAAGATAAACCTAAAACGTTGGCTAAATTCCATAAATTTCATTTCTTTGGTTACTTTTCATCATTGAATTTGCCTGTTGACTACCGATCCCATTTCAATGGAACATTGTTTCACTTCCATACCGTTTAGTTTTCTATGATCTTTGAATTCAAATTTGATTTCCAGTCAACAGTTTAGTGCCCTGTTTTTGGTACTAATTCGATGATATTTTGTTTCAAAAATTAACATCTTCAATGCCCATAAAGAACTGCTGAAATATGAATTGAAGAACTGAGTTAGTGGAACAGAACCTAAAGCTTTGACGTCAATTTTTGTTACTGACATTATTGTGTTTCCGGTGGAAACGATGAATAAAATTTGCAGTTAATACTTTTCCTCTTACACCTACCGTTTATATGACGCATACTATTGCCTTGTTGTGCCGTAAAAAAGGTATTCATCCGGTGGTGCAGATTGTGATTATTATTCAAATGTGGTAGCAAACGACGGAACAGTACCACCGGTGATAATCTGTTTAAAATAACGTGTAGGCTGTCCATATCGTAACCATTTTAATGCACTAATTGCTGACTAATACAAATACAGAGGATGAAAATTCGCAAAAAAATTTTGCTCTTTTCTGAGATGTGCATTCAAGCAGTCATAAAAAAAAAAAAAGCTTCATTAAGGGAACGGAAAGAAAGCGAGCGGAAGAAAAGGTAAAAAAAAATTATCGTGATTTACGTCACAAATTTTTTCAAGTTGATATTCGAAGATTATTTTAAGACCCTGTTTTAATATTTTGTGTTATATGCAGTTGCAAAATTAAAAATAGTTTAGTTGGGAAAATGCATTAACTAGTTCTCAGTTAAGCTAAACCAAAAAAATTTATGAAACTTCAACTTAAAAATGCAGTAGCTGGAGCGTTGTAAGTTTGCTGAATCTGAAAAATTTTAAAGCTGTTTGTTCATTTAACACAACATTTCTCCTGCAGCTATCGAGAACTATTTAACTGACTCACAAAATGATTTTTTGGAAATTACAGGAAAAACGGCATTCAAGAGAATTATATCTGAAAAAATACTAAATTTTGAATTTTTCCAAAATACATTTATTGTGGAGACACTTGTTTTACAAATGTACAAACTTCCGAAATGACGCTGTTTGAAAACGCAAATTATGGGACAGAAATTAAAGTGAAATTATAAGAACTACACGTTTAAAACTTATTTTAAAAGTCTTTAGCACGGGAAAATAATTTTTTTGATTTTAAAGTGAGTAAAGAGACTGACTAAATAGTGCAAAAAATACTTTCACCCACTTGGATAAACGTTAAACATTGATCTTATTTTGAGCAATTAACGAACTTTACAAGTGTAGCTGCAAAAACGCTATGATAGGGGCAAATCAGATTCTCAACAGCAATTATACTAGAACCTTTTAGTCACTATTCATACTGGCACCTGCTCATAGCACGGTCCACAAACTTGACATTCCAGACTTTTCTAAAACTTTTGAAACGATCTCGATACATGATTTCGGACACAAAGTGACCGCCTAAAAAAGCGATTTGCTCAATCCACACGTACCTTCTCAGAAAGTTTTTCAATTCTTTGTGTAGAGCTCCTTACAAGACACGAACATAATTGGGTAAATCTGTTTCTGTGTACATCCTACCATACCTCCCCACCTAAAGTATCGAACTACTTCTGTTAGCATAGATGGCAAAACACCAAACAAGCAAACCAAAACTTTATTTCTTGATCTCGTGACATGTAAAACAGAAACGCACATTTCGGCAAGAGTTATGGTGAAGACTGTAATTTATTGTCAAACCAGTATATCGGATCCACGACCAAGGCAAAGAAGGTATTGTGATTCAGAAAAATTCTCAAATATATTCAACATAATACAATGGATGAGCTTCAATGAATGAGCAAAGTGAAAAAACCAAAACCTTCGAAATACTACTTCCAAGAGCAGCGAATGGAGTCGAGTTAGTGATCGCATTGAAATGAGCATTTAATAGCGGGTGAAAAAAAGTACAGACAACACAAGCCACAAAAAACTTCGTCACCCAAAAGAAGGAAAAAAATACATACATATACATATATAAAATTGAATGTGTTGTTAAAAAAACAGTAAAAAGCATTGAAGTTCTAAACTCTCTCTGATGAAGACTTTAGTTTCTTTGTAAGGTTGCCGTTCTGGCTTATTTTATTTTGGCACAACAGCAACCAAAATACGAAAGTGAAGTACTTGTTTAAACTACAGCTTGTATAAGAAACTATAACCTAGATCTAAAAAATATTCTGCAAGAAATAAAGATTGTGGCATATATGACCATACGGCCATCAACACTGTAATAAAATTACTGCAATCTTGTTGAATTGTTTACCACACCTAACATCTGTAACACCCTACTGGTCCATTCGAGCTAAAAAGTATGTTAAAGATCCTTTTGTTAGGATCAATAACCTTGGTGATTTGATGGATACGGTTGAGACGGGTAGACATACCCAGGCGCATAAGACTGCTGCATTCCTGGGTAAGTTTGCATAGGTAGTGCATTCGTCTGCTGAACGGGTCCTGACGGATATGCTAAATTACCTAAATTCGGTTACTATCTATTCATAAAATCGATTTTTGAAGTGGATGGAGGAGTGAAACAAAAGGTTAAGACTTACTTTGTGGCTGGTTTTCAACATATTTAATTTCATCGTTGTAAGGTGCAGAATTCTCATTATTGAACAATCGACAGCACGAGTAGAACAAAGAACGAAAGAAGGCATAAACAATGAAGCAACAACAGCACATCAGAAGAAGGAGAACCAAAAACACACTAAAACACTGAAACTACATCTGTAAATTTACTATAAAACCTAGGCCGTTTTTTTGTTAACGTTACCACCGGTAGTACACAGTTCTTTATATTCCCCTTCCATAGCGAAGTCCTTCACTTCTCTTGGGAAAACATCGTTTTAATTCAAAAAACTTTCATAATAACAAGATCTTTTCTAAATTAAGTCCAAGAATGAGCAAATGAAAGATGTTGGGAAGTTCTGACGGCAATCATTTGAACTCATTAAGATCTGCAAATGATTAGAGGAAAAACAACAAAAGGGCTTACATCAGTATCATGTTTTGAGGTGACATTTTAGCCTCGCCATTAGTACCAGTGGGACCATTTTGTTGCGGAGCCGGTGGCGCCGGACAACATTCGGTACCACAGCACACTTCGGCTCCCGTGCGACATGTCCAAGTAACAGTTTTTGGACGTGACCCGTCTTGGAATTGCATCTGTAAAATAAATAAATGTTATAAAGCTTCCTCTTACTGAACAGAATCTGCTAACAGATCAACATTTACAGAAGAGAGGAGCTGATCGGGCGACGGAGTTGCACTATCCGTTCCGTTTGAAGATGAATCTGCGTTTGGTGGTGCAGTTGTTCCAGTTGCAGTCTAAGATCAATCTTCGTTTTAGATTTGTT